CAAAATAATTTTATTAATATTTCAAACGTTTTTATATTTTTATAATTTTTTTACATTATGATTTTACGTTACGATTTTACATTTTATAATTTTTTTACTCCCCTCCCAATTTTATTTAAAATATCGACTTTAACAAAGTTGGTGCAAACTTGGATTGAGAAAGATGCTACAAAATGCATTGACCTTAGTTGACTTGGAAAATGTAAAACGCGCACGGCCTGTTGTCATGGATTTGGAAATTAAATAGCATGGGGTCCATGGAGCTTAACTTTCAAACTAATAAGTAAAAACTTTATTTTCAGCAACACGTGGTTTTGTACTTTATTATTTGACCCCTTGTAATTTTAAACTTATCAGTTAGACTTATTGTGCTGAGATATTTTGTTATTCAACCCCCTATGATTTCAAATTTTTACTTAGACCCTTTGTGGTTATAAAAAAATTCACTTAAAAATCTTGTGATTTAAAAAATAAATATTTTAAAAAATAATTTTTTTCTCATTTATTTTATATCCTCATGTAGTAAATGCATTTACGGTTTAAAAAATAGTTCAAGTTATTTATTATGAAATTAATTTATAAATTATCTTAATTTTTTTAAAATATATTTGAAATTAAAAAATATTATTTAAGATAAATTAAATATATATTATCAAAATAAGATATTTATTTTCTTTAGGTAATTTTATAACGGGTAAAAAATAAATAAAATAAAGTAATATTTGATTTGAATTTATTTTCTTGAGAAAAATAAGTGAATTTTTTAAACCTTAAATGCATTAGGTGATGATATAAAAAAAGAGACAGAATATTTATTTTAAATATTTATTTTTTAAAATTTTTATATTTGTAATCACAAGGGATTTAAGTGAAATTTTTTCTAACTACAAGGTGTTTAAGTGAAAGTTTGAAACCACGAGGGGTTAAATGAAAAATTATTTAAGCACAATGGGTCTAAGCGATAAGTTTAAAATCACAAAGTGTCAAATGATAAATCACAAAATCACAATGGGTGAAAATGAAGTTTTCCCAACTAATAAATAACTTACTCATTATATTATTAATGTAAAATAATTATTAAACATGTAGATTTGTGTAACTATTTATTAAAAATTTATTGACTTCTCCTATCCAACTTGTGAAATGTATGTCCAAGAATTCCACTGCCACACCTAAAGATCACTGCGCAATTTAGCACACTTTTTTTATAATGTGAAGTTATGAACACAAACTTTTTAAGAAAATAGGAATAGAAAAAAATAAGATTATAATGTTATTAAGTATAGAAGGATGGATGAAATAAGTAAAATGAGATTTTAATTTTATTTTTTTTATTTTCACAATGATGCAGTGAGAATATTGAAAATATTTTCGACTTTCACACGGCAAACACAAAGGAATGGTCATGGATACCGGTTCTTTTTGACAAGTCAACGAACAGCTAAGCAATCTTGTACGCCACAGAAAGTGTTGGAAAAAAGGGAATGAAAAAACAACAAGCATATGGAAAATGAAGGTCTCTCTCGTGTGTTGAGGGGGGTGTTGGTTCAAGTGAAAATTTTAGTTCACTCAGAAAATATAATTATCAAGAATCTACAGAAAAAGTGAATTAAATAGGAAAGTTAAAAAAATATATTGTTTGGTTGAGCCAAATATTATCAGGTAAATTGATTAAAGTTTTTGAAACCTATGTTTGGTTGAGAATAAAATATTGATGAGTAAATGGTATAAAATTACAAATATAACTCCATAAAGAATGTGAAACCTTGACACTTTAGATGAGAGATATTTAAGCAGTGTTATTAAATCTGGACCGACCCGGCCGGGTCGACCCGGGAACCGGTAAACCGGTCATATAACCGGTCCGGTTGAAGCAATGGACCAGCCATGCATTATAACCTGTGTGACCCGGTCTGACTCGGCCGGTTTTCATGAAAACCGGTGACCCGACCCGGTCACAAAAAAAAATCCAATTTTTTTTCAAAAAAAAAAATCACAATGGACATAATTGAATATTTTTTTTCTTATTAACTTACATAAGTTATGTGTTTACAGTACTAATATTATCTCAATTATGCACTATGCAAAAAAATTTGATTGGATTTATAGTTAGGGATGTCATTTTCTGAACCTAAAGCCCCGTATCATGATCATTATATTTTTGTTTGATCTTTTATTGGATAATAATATGTGATTTATTATTTTTTATATTAAAATATTTGAGATTTTAATCATTTTTTTAGATATTTGAGTATGTTTATAATTTTTTAATATAAATTATAAAATTATATATAATTACCGGGTCATGCGATTGAACCAATGACCCACTAGTTGAACCAGTAATCCAGTAACCCAGTACCTCGACCAAGTCAATGACCGGGCCGATTTTAATAACATTGTATTTAACTCTACTAGTGGATTGCTCTTTTGTCATTTAGCTAACTAAATATAAAATACTATCTTGAAATTATCTTTACAAATAGTAACTTTTGCTTGCTTTCTATGAACAAATAAGGAATGTTATGCAAATATAATACACGAAAATTTTGTAAAACTGTATACCAAAGATTGCTTTCTTATTTTGTGAATTTGATTTGCATAGTTAAATTTTAAAAAATCTTCATCCAAACACCACCGAATTCATATCTTTTCCCTCCCAATGATGACTAGCTATCCAGCACTCTTTAAATCTTCCGTGTTTTGCGTGCCTTGAAGTCAACAATTATGCGTTGATTTTATTTTATTTGATATTAATTATCTTTAAAATTAACAAAGAAATATAGGAGATTTAGGTTATCTCATGTTATTTATTAGATTTTATCATTTCTCTGGTTATTCAAGATAAAATTATTTTTTATAATTCAAAATTATGTTATTTTTAGGGTTAAAAAAATTTAATAAAAGATATTTTGATAAAATTTATATAATAAAGAGACAAACAAAATTACAAATAAAATTTATATAAACAAATTGTTACCTCGACTTTTTACTTTTTTTCCCAGTTTTTGTACTGATTTTCTTCGCTCTTCACTCACATTGGTCCCAGTCAACTTGTCCTTAAGCAAGGATGTGGAGGTACATTGATAAAGCATTTGAAATCCACAATCCGCCCCTACTTTGAAAGTTTTTAAAGTTGACTTGGTAAAATGCAAGAAGTTTTTCATTATTATAACTGACTTATTTTAAATTTAAATGCTAGTATATATTTTTAAACAGGCAAGTTATATTTACCTGTTTTTTTTATTTTTTTACTAATTTTTTTCTTAGTTAGATTGTATTTAAATCAAAGATCCTAAATACAATAAATCAACCCACAATAATGGATCTTACATCTTTAATTTTTTCTATCTATTTCTCTCTTCCGTTTTGTCTCTTTTATTTTTTTCGCAAAAAAAATAAAATAGAAGAAAATGGCAATTTGATAGGGGTTATATCCTACCAAATTTTCTAAAAAGAAGAAGAAGAGGAGAATGAAGGGTAGATGAAGAAGAAAAAAAGTTGCTTTTTTTTAAGAAAAAAAAAACACTTCTCGAAAAAAATTTATTTGGATGCAGTATTTAAAAAAAAAAACATAAGTCATAAAAAAAGTTAAAAATTTATTTTTTTCGAAAGCTAAAAATTTTAACTTTTAAAAAAAGTAGAAGTCAAAAGTCAAATATTTTTTTCAAAAATCAAATTTTTTTAAAAAATCTAAATAGCTATAACTTTTATAGAAAGTACTTTTAAAACAAGAAAGTGATAAAAATGACTTTCTTAAGAAGCCAATTCTAACGCACCCTTTATATCCTAGGCCACTAGAATTAAAAGTCTGGGATCTGCCAATGTACAATAAAATCGGTCGGATTTTTAAATCATTTGTAATGTAAAAATGTATAAACATTTTCATATTCTGGTTAGGGGGACGTTTGGTTGAGGAGAAATTTTTTGAATACTAGAGAAATGTAATTGATAGGAAAATGGTTGGAAAGTGAGTTTGGTAGGAAAATGTAAAAAAAGTTGTTTGGTTGGAAAAAAAATTTACCAGGAAAATTAGATAAGATTTATAAAGTTTATGTTTGGTTTGAGGTAAAATATAGATGAGAAATAAGTGACAATTACGAAAATATCCCTGTTTGAATATGAAATTAAAAAATAACAGTAACCTAAAATAGTCGTTTGTTTTCAATCTGCTGCAAACGTAAATAACAGTAACCCACCCCGCCTCCTCCCAGGGCATTCCGGCGCTCCACAGATGGACGACATAAGGGAGAGAATGATAACCATGGTGATAACGAGAATAGTGGTGAGATTGAAAACCCTCATTCAGAGGCGTGGTTAGTGAAGAATAAGAAGAGCCCTTGGGCTGGGAAGAAAGAAGGGTTGCAACGGGAGTTGACGAAAGAACAAAAGAAGTATACGAAGAAGAAAGGGGAAGAGAACAATGGTTTTGGTGGGGATAAGGGTGAAGGTCATTCTCGTCCACAGATTCGATCTCATTTTTTCGTTGCCTGGCTAAGTGGAAAATACCACCATGCAAATGGTTTTCTGAAACAGAGAAAGATATGATTTTTCAATACAAATAGGAAAGGATGGGCAAATCACTTCCCTAGTTAAATTTTTTTAACCCATGTACCAAACGTGTTCAAATTCAAAACCTAAAAAAAGTTGTCTGGGTATATCTATTAAAACTCTCTACCAAACACCACTTAGATGTATTACCAACATGGCATCATTAGAAGAATTCTTATTTATGATATTATTAAAATATTATTAGATTATAATATTAAAACATTAACTAATTAAAATTCGATTATTAAATTTTTAAAAGTATATATAATAAAAAAATTAAATGGAAATATAAATTAAACTAACAAAAAAAATGGAAACAAATTTTATTATTGTATAGTATGAATTACATGAATTGAATAGTATGAATTGAATAGTAAGGAGTTGATTTCAAATAAGCTTTTGGCTATAAAAGTGACAACACCGCCCTCTTGTCAACTAAAGCTTCAATCTTCTGTTTGTTGATGTGATTAGCGATAGGACATTAATCATAATGGCAACAGTTTCTTGGAGGTTGTTTTCCTTTCTTTGTTGTCTCCTTGTCATGATCATATCTCAAACCAGCGCCCAGCCAAATCACTGGTGCTTCAATGATAAAGGCAATTACACAGCCAATAGCACATATCAGACCAACCTCAACACCCTTCTAGCCAATCTCACTGCCAACACAGAAATCGACTATGGTTTCTACAATTTCTCATATGGCCAAAACACTGACAAAGTAAACGCCATTGGACTGTGCAGAGGAGATGTTAAGCCAGATGCATGCCGCAGCTGCCTCAACGATTCCAGAGGCAATCTCACACAGATTTGTCCGAACCAGAAAGAGGCAATTGTGTGGTTTGACATGTGCATGTTGCGCTACTCGAACCGCTCAATATTTGGCATCATGGAAACTTTACCAGCTATTTATATGTGGAACATAAACAATGCAACGGATGTGGATCAGTTCAAGCAAGTGCTGTTTAACTTGATGAGGAATCTAAAAGGCGCAGCTGCATTAGGTGACTCTCGTGGTAAGTATGCTACGGATAATGTAACTGGTCCAAATTTTCAAAGCATATATGGTCTTGTGCAGTGCACGCCTGATTTGTCATGGCAAGGCTGTAATGACTGCTTGGATGGGGCTATCTCGCAAATCCCAAGTTGTTGCAATAACAGAAGAGGTGGTAGAGTTGTTGGCCCCAGTTGTAATATTAGATACGAAAGCTACCGCTTTTACGATCCCACGTCAAGATTAGACCCAAGTATACCGCCACCGACACTGACACCGCTGCCATTACCGTCCTCACAAGGTAATTTTCATGTTGGGCTTAGTTATCATTGATATGTGAGACTGTAAAGCAACCATTTCATGCGGTGTTAATAGTTTATAGGGTCGACAATACTTAGCTCTTGAAATTACTGATATTTTACTAATATTAATCCATGGACCGTCTGTCCGAGGATACTGATTTGTGCAGGAAAGAGCAACACATCACAAACTGCCATCGTCATAGCAGTGCCGGTTGTTGCTGTTGTTGTTTTGGTGCTCTGTTTCATCTGCATCTATTTAAGAGCGAAGAAGCCAAGGAAATATTTTGAAAGTAAGTCTGAAACTCTCTCTAAGCTTGGAATTACCGTCACTTATTATAAACAGTAGTGTCACAATTTAAAGGGACGGGAGTGTATTATTTATCATAACTGAACTTTTTCTGACAAACCTTACAGGATTCCTTCTATTAAATAATGCAAGATACGTTCATTCATTTCGCAGAAAAAAATAATATAATTAATGGTTCAAAGCATGCAGTACTCAACCACTCCTAGGAATATGGAAGGAGAACTGGGGAAATCAATAATAATTTCTTTCTGGTTTCACATTAACAAATTATATCTCTTGTCCTATTTCGGCTGCACTTATCGCATTGAAAAACTCACTTGTTTAACCCGTTCCCCATGTGAAGCTGAAGTTGATGATGATGAAATTATAACCAATGAGTCATTGCAATTCAACTTTGATACCATACGAGTTGCTACAGATGACTTCTCAGATGCTAATAAACTCGGACAAGGTGGATTTGGAGCTGTTTACAGGGTAAGATAACACCATTTCATTCTGATAAATTTCACCTCTTCATCAAAACATGGTATACCGAGTTAACTTGGCCTAGAAAGAATTTTCTGTACCTGACTGTGATATATTTTCAGGGTAGGCTCTCTAATGGACAAGTGATTGCAGTCAAAAGGTTGTCAAGAGATTCTGGCCAAGGAGATACGGAATTTAAGAATGAAGTGCTTTTATTGGCCAAGCTTCAGCACCGAAATTTAGTTAGACTACTTGGTTTCTGTCTGGAAGGAAGAGAAAGGCTACTCATCTATGAATTTGTTCCGAATAAAAGCCTTGATTACTTCATATTTGGTAGGTTTGAATATATGCATAATTACAAAGACTAACTACTAATTAATATAGCTTTCAAATTCATATGGCTTCGGTGCATATGTAGATCCAACCAAGAAAGCACAATTGGATTGGGAAAGGCGCTACAAAATCATTGGAGGTATTGCTAGAGGTCTTCTTTACCTTCATCAGGATTCACAACTGCGTATTATACATCGAGATCTCAAAGCGAGCAACATTCTCTTAGATGGAGAGATGAATTCTAAGATATCAGATTTTGGCTTGGCAAGACTTTTTGTTGTGGATCAAACAGGAGGAAATACAAATACAATCGTTGGAACCTAGTAAGTATTACAATATGCGAGAACATGTTATAAAAGTTTAACATTTTACTCTTTTAGGTATTGATATGTTATTCGAAGATTTTGACATTTTAAAAAGATGTTGTAAGAGTCACGCACGATGATGATAGCAAATCAAAATTAAAGATTTGTTATTAATGTCATTGGCCTTACCAACTGAAACAGAGTGAAAAAGACTCATGCTATTTATGACTAATTAAGCTTGTCCATATTGTTATGTAGTGGATATATGGCACCAGAGTATGCAATGCATGGACAGTTTTCAGTGAAATCAGATGTCTTTAGTTTTGGTGTACTGGTTCTTGAGATTGTTAGTGGCCAGAAAAACAGCAGCATTCATCATGGGGAGAGTGTAGAGGATCTACTGAGCTTTGTAAGCATTCCTTTTCTGACTACTATATATCTTCCATGCCATTAAAAGTATGGTTTAGAAAATAACGTGCTCCTAAATATTAATGTCGAAGTGGAATCCGTTACCTAATGGTATGTGCAATTGATAAAATTCTTGCAGGCATGGAGAAACTGGAGGGAGGGGACAGCTACAAATATAGTAGATCCAACATTAAACAACAGTTCGCGAAATGAGATGATGAGATGCATCCACATTGGTTTACTCTGTGTTCAAGAAAATTTAGCTAACAGACCAACCATGGCTGCCGTTACACTCATGCTTAATAGCTATTCTCAGACTCTCCAGGTACCTTCCGAGCCTGCATTTTATATGGACAGTAGAACTGGAAGCCTTCCACACGTGCAATCATGGGAGTATAATTCAAGGGCAACAATATCAACTGAATCTGCAAATGAATCAGCTCAAGAATCGGTTAATGAGGCTTCAATTACTGAGCCATACCCTCGCTAGATTTTGGTCACTGTGACGAGATTTATTTATCATCAATGTTTCAACCAAAATACAATGTCTTGGAACTCGAGTAATTTGTTCGGGCGAATTGTCTTCTCTAAATAGGCCATAAATTCTCTTTGTTTAAACTGAGACCGAAACCTATAATGACCATCAGTTGGTCTTAAGAGTGTATGTTATGGCTATTAGCACTGCTTGGTGCTCTTTCTCTACACTATGCATTTCTTTATTGGTGTTCAAAATCTGGTTTCCCGTTGCATTTGTTCTGTAAAATTTAAACAAACAGGATCAAAACTACCATACCATCTGTTCACGGGAAACAACTTTCTTAGATCTAATTAATCTGGAAAACCTGAACAACGCATTGTTTTTTTTTTTTAATATTCCAATCAGTTCATTGCTTCGCAACTAATCCGATTCGGGGCGGGTTAAGGATTAAGGTTTTAAACCCCCCAAAGGTGATACCGGGGAGATTCAAACACATGCTCTCAACCCCACCTGCTTAAATCCCATGCGCCAATTAAGCTACCACCATTTGGTAACAACGCATTGTTTTAAACTCTATTGTTTAACTGCTCTCGTGACAAGAATTGCCATAAATTATATATTCGATTTTGTAAAAAATCATTTCAACTTTAAGTTTTTGAGTTTAATTGGTTATTTACAAGTTATCAATAAAGTCTAAATGTCACGGGTTCAATCTTCAACTTCAATTTTTTTTTTGTGAAATTTTTTAGCATAGATAAATAAGCATATGCATTATCCACTATTCATATTTTATGGGCTCTCGTGTGAGAGGATGTGTTAGAAAAATATATAAATTATTAATGGACTTTCATTTAAAAGCTTAAATTTTTGAGTTGAATTAATTATTTACTGGGTTAATGGTTTATTATATGGTGAACTTTTGACTTCTTTCAAATAAACAATAATTTTTTAAAATTTTGGGGTCATTATCATCGGAATGTTTTTATATAGATGATTTTTCAGTTTTGGTGTTGTTCAAATATTCCCTAAGGAAATTAATGAGAAAAAAAGTTAATGTTTCCACATTTTTTTTGTTATACTTTTACCCGGTTTTCCACGAAATTTTCGTTTTTTATGTATTAAATTAAAAAACAAATATAAAAAGTATACATAAAACCAATGTTTGCATCGGAAATCTAAATTATACTCACCAACAAATCATTTTGCTAAATTCCTTGGTGTGAAATTCATCCTCAAGGGTATTGTTGGAATTCAAGTGTGAGAAATTTCCATATTGCTTGAAAATAGATTAAAAGATTATTATACTAGTAGAAAGGATTCATAAATGTATTTCCTTTTAAGGTTTTTGATTATTCCAGTTCATTTATAGTTATTTTTTCTTGCCCATTCATGCTAATTTTCCCTTATTAAGGACTCTCATAAGACATTTTCTGTAATTTTATACCGTTATCCAATTACCTTAGTCATCATCATTAAATGCACGGGCCATTTTTTTGGACTTGAATAGTATTATTTATCACTAAGTACTTCGCGTTTTACGTTTTTATTTGAACATTCTTATACGATAATGATATGAATACAACTTTTTGTAGCATGGATCTCTTTGAATTAATTATATAATCTGTGTAGGGGGCATTGAGGGATAAAATGTAAAGTAGATATGGAAACTTGGGCGTTGGATATTAATTTTCTACAAGGTCCACGTCAATAAGAACAAAACGTCAAAGGTCTTAAAATTCCAGGCTGTCGTGTACCACTTCGGTCTCAATCAACTGCAAATTTTCTAAAATATTGACTTTGTCAATTTCAATATCAAACATTAGAATCGCGTTGCGTTGGTCCATGAAACAAATATAAGATAAGTATGTAACGTGCCCAAGCCCCACGTTATGAATCTCTCCTTATTTTTTCTTGCGCATAAATGCATGCAATTGTTTCGTTGGGCCTTTCTGAGAAATTCCATAATGTTGGCAAGCAATTAGGTAGTGGTTGTTAGACCCAGACTTAACATTAGGTTTGAAAAAGTCCGCATCTATGAACCTATATGAACCAAAAACACCACCACAATGCCTCAGTTTTTTTTTTTTTTTTTTTTTAAAAAAGGTTATATCCTTTAAACGCCTGGGAATGCTTATGCCATTCTTATAACTTCAGGGCTGTTTAGATTTTTTTACAGCTATTTTTTTTTTTTTTTTTTGGTTAATTTGTAGGAGTGCTGATACTCTTTGCTCTTTTAGATACCTATGGATATGGGCTGCCAAAACGTTTTGCTGGCTTATTAGTGGGAACACATCAGTGTTTACTGAAAAAAAAAAGAAAAAGAAAAAGAGGCAACACATCAGTCAAGCTTTCAAACTTGGATTGAGAAAGATGCTACAAAATGCATTGACTTTAGTTGACTTGGAAAAAGTAAAACGCGCACTGCCTGTTGTCACGGATTTGGAAGTTTTTTTTTTTCGGATACATGGAAGTTTAATACCATGGGTCCATGGAGCTTTTTATCAAAGTTGACATGGAATATAAGCACTGTAACTAGAAATTTGAGTTGACGTATTTTTTAAATTGGTCTCGACATAACTTTGTAGAAGCTTTTAAATTAATAAATAACTTACACATTAAGTTATTAATGAAAAATAATTATTAAACATGTGGATTTATGTATCTATTTAATATAAATCACTGCGCAATACAGCATACTTCTTTTATAATGCAAAGTTATAAACACATACCCTTTAAGAAAATGGGAATAGGAAAAAAAATAAGATTCGAATGTTATTAAGTACAAAAGGATAGATGAAATAAATAGAACGAGATGTGTTGTTTTTTCTAATTTTAACAATGATGCAGTAGGAATATTGAAAAAAATTCCACCTTCACACACCAATCACTAAGGTAGCGTTTGGTAGTCGATATTTTTCAGAATTTTTAGAAAATTAAATTTTTTTAATTTAAAATTTTTAAATTTTATCATAAATTAAATATTTTTATCATATTTTAGAAATCAATATTTTCGGATAATTTTTTTTTTTTCTGCCAAACGTTTCCTGAAGAATGAATGGACACCATTTCTTTTTGACAAGTCAACGAACAGCTAAGCATTCTTGTGCGCCACGGAAAGTGCTGGGAAAAAGGGAATGAAAAACTAACAAGCATATGGAAATGGAAGGTTTTGTCGTCTCTTCAGATTTTTTTCCTCCCAATGATGACTACCTAGTAGCTATCCAGCACTCTCTTTAATCTTCCGGTATGCGTGTCTTGAAGTCAACAATTATGCGTTGATTTTATTTTATTTGATATTAATTATCATTAAAAGTAATTAAGAAATATGATAGGTTTAGGATATCTCTTGTTACATACATGACAAAAATATTTATCCTTTTAAACGAGACAGTTTATATTCTTTCATTTTTATAAAGAGATGAGATTTACAATTTTTTTTTTTTTTGTCAACTTTCTCTTCTTTTTTATCTATTTTTTATTCTCTTTTAAAATAACATAATTTTACATATTTTAAAACCACCCACACTTTTACATCTCAAGCGAGTGCCAGCCCAATTTTCCTATCCCAATCCTATGATAACATCAAAGGGAACTACACACCCAATAGCACCTACCACACAAATCTCAACACACTTTTGTCCACTCTCACTTCCAACACAGAAATTGACTACGGATTCTACAATTTCTCATATGGTCAAAACAGTAACAAAGTGAACGTCATTGGGCTGTGTAGAGGAGATGTTAGGCCAGATGAGTGCCGCAGTTGCCTCGACGATTCCAGAGTCAATCTCACACAGCTTTGTCCGAATCAGAAAGAGGCAATTGTGTGGTTTGACATTTGCATGTTGCGGTACTCGAACCGCTCAATATTCGGCATCATGGAAACTTCACCTTTTTTTAATTTGTGGAACGGATACACTGCAACAGAGGTGGATAAGTTGAATCAAGTGCTCGGTAACTTGATGAGGAATTTAAAAGACAGAGCTGCATCAGGTGACTCTCGTCGTAAGTATGCTGCGGCAAATGCAACTTTTCAAACCAAATATTTATGGGCTTTGTTTTTCTCCTTTCACATGATAAAAGGAATTCTCCTACACACATGTTTAAGGTAGATCCCACCATTAAAAAATTAAAATAAAAATAAAAAACAATACACGCATATCGATGTATGAGTAACATGAGAAATGCTTTCTCCATCAACATAAGAAAGTATTTTCCCAATATTTATACGGTGTTGTGCAGTGCACGCCTGATTTGTCACGGCATGTCAAAATAACTGTGTATTTCATTTTTTGTTCACAAGGTAAAGAAGGTGTTTAAATACACCAATAACAGAAACAAGATCAGATCAATATTCTATACAAAACAACTAAATAAAGAACAAACTCCCTAATTTTCTCAACAGTAAAAAACAACTTTACAAACTAAGTTTAAAATTCAAATTCTATTCTTAACACTCATCCTCAAGTTGGTGCATGTATATTTATCATGCCCAACTTGTTAATTGCTTTATCAAATGCCTTCCCTGAGACAGCTTTTGTTAGAATGTCTGCAACTTGATTTTCTGACCGTATGAAAGGTAACTGAATAATCATATGATCAAGTTTCTCCTTAATAAAATGTCTATCAACTTTCACATGTTTTGTACTGTCATGCTAAACCGGATTATGAGCTATTTCTATTGCAGCCTTATTGTCACAGTATAACTTCATGGGTTCACTGTATTCAATTCCAATATCTTTCAAGATATTTTTAATCCAAAGTAATTCACAGATACCCTGAGACATACCTCTGAATTCTGCTTCTGCACTTGAACGGGCTATTACTTTTTGTTTCTTGCTTTTCCAAGTCCTAGATTTCCTTCAACAAATGTGAAATAGCCTGATGTTGATTGTCTTGTAGTCTTATCTCCAACCCAATCTGAATCGGTATATCCTTCAATTGATGATTCTCCATTTTTTGAGAACAACAACCCCTTTCCAGGTGTCCCTTTTAAGTATCTAAGAATTCTTTGTACTGCATCCATGTGATCCTTACTTGGAGAATGCATGAATCTACTAACTACACTCACTGCATATGAGATATCAGGCCTAGTATGAGCCAAATAGATTAATTTTCCAACTAACCTTTGATATTTATCAGTCTCGGTTGGAATCCGATCCTGATAAATTCCTAAGGTATGGTTCATCTCAATTGGAGTTTCCACAGGTTTGCAGGCCAACATCCCAGTTTCAGCAAGCAAGTCTAGGACATATTTTCTTTGTGACAAATACAATTCCTTGGTCAGATCTGGCAACTTCAATGCCTAGGAAATATTTTAATTCCCCTAGGTTTTTCATGTCGAATTCAGTGGCTAAGTATTGCTCTAAGGCTTTCATTTCACATTCATCATCACCTGTAACAACCATATCATCTACATAGACCATTAAAATGGTTACTTTTCCTCCCTTATGTTTTATAAACAAAGTATGGTCTGAATTACTTTGTTTATAATTGAACCTTTTCATAGCCGAGGAGAATCTGCCAAACCATGCTCTAGGGGATTGTTTCAATCCATATAGAGCCTTTTTCAATTTGCACACTTGGTTTCCTTGTCTTTGTTCAATTCCTGGTGGTATCTCCATATAAACTTCTTCCTCTAGGTTACCGTTGAGAAAGGCATTCTTCACATCATATTGTTTTATACTCCAATTTCTATTGGCTGCAATGGAGATTATGACTCTGACTGTATTTAGTTTTGCAACTGGTGCGAAAGTCTCTTGATTATTGTTAAGAACCTTGAGGTCACCACCCTAAAAGCTAGCTCAAAGGGTGGGAGTGCCCAAGGCCTTATAAACCTCACATTAGTTGCCCATACAACCAATGTGAGACTATATTTCTCAACACGCCCCCTCACACGAGAGCCCACTGGGCTTGAAGGGTGGACAACATACAAGCCCACCTACACGTGGAAATTCCACTACGAAGAAAGTGGGAGGCAGTGAGATTTCGAACGCTCTGATACCATGTTAAGAACCTTGAGGTCACCACCCCAAAAGCTAGCTCAAAGGGTGGGAGTGCCCAAGGCCTTATAAACCTCACATTAGTTGCCCATACAACCAATGTGGGACTATATTTCTCAACAATAATCAATGCCAAACCGTTGGGTATATCCTTTGGCTACAAGTCTGGCCTTGTATCTATCTAAGCTTCCACCAGCCTTCAATTTTAATGTGAATATCCACTTGCACCCGATTGTTTGTTTTCCTTGTGGTAGTGGAACCAATTCCCAGGTTGAATTTCTTTGAAGAGCCTCCATTTCTACATTCATAGCTTCCTTCCATCTTGGGTTTTCAAGTGCTTCCTGCACATTTGTTGGAATAGCTACACTAGACAACTGATTAGTGGCAAAAGCATATGATTTTGAGAGTTTTTCTGTTGAGACATAGTTTCCAATCGGATATTTAATTTTGGTAGAGAGGTCAGGTTCATAAACTTTAGGAGGAATACCTTTGGTTGTTCTCTGTGATTTTCGGATTTGTGGTTCATTTGTGGGTGAGATATTGTTAACAGATGAAGAGAGGGGATTAGAGATTACCTCATTATGGTTCAGTGAAGTAGAGTCAAGGACAGCCACCTCAGCAGGACTTGGTGTAGGTGTTAAATCTTGTGTTTCAGCTATACTATTGGTAGCTTCTCTGTCCACTGCAACAGCTATACTATTCGAGTTTTCTGCAGATTCAGGTGCATTCAGATTCGGGTTTTCTGCAGATTCAGGTACATTCAGAGCAGCTTTAGATATATTCAATTCAATCCCATTAGTACTTGGATCAGTGGTAGATATATGCTCTTCAGTCCCAGCTTGTGAATGTTTTGTCCACACTTCTTCTCCTAATTTATAGTGGAACTCCCCCTGAGAAGAAGTCTGGGAATCTCCCCCTGAGTAAAATGGTTCTCCTTCATGAAAGGAAACATTGAGAGATACATGCAATTTGCGGGTAGTGGGATCATAACACCTGTATCCTTTTTGCACATCAGAATATCCAACAAAAATACATTTAGAGGCACAGGGATCAAGTTTATTCCGGAGGGGTTTAGGAACATGTACATATACGGTACAGCCAAATGTTCGTGGTTCAAGATTTGAAGAGTGAGGTATAGAGAAATAAGATTCAAGTTTTTGCAGAGGGGTTTGGAAATTAGTGTACTTGATGGGGTTCGATTGATTAAGTACGCGGCAGATATGACTGCCTCTCCCCAAAAATGTGTGGGAACATCCATGTCAAAGAGTGAGGCTCGTACAACCTCTAAAATTTGTCTATTTTTTCGCTCAGCAAGTCCATTTTGCTGAGGGGTATATGTACATGATGTCTGGTGTTTAATGCCATGGGAGGTAAGAAAGTTGGAAAATTTTGAGTTTAGATATTCCGTACCATTGTCTGATTGAAGAATTTGAACAGAAGAGTTAAATTGAGTTTGAATCATAATTTGAAAATTTTTGAATGCAGAAAATACACCACTTTTATGTTTCAAAAGAGAAATCCAGATCATTTGTGTGCATTCATCAATAAAGGTTACATAGTAAAATGCTTTGGAGATAGAGGGAACCTTTGCAGGCCCCCAAACATCCGAGTGGACTACTTGAAAAGGAATGACACTTTTATTAATACTTGGAAGATAAGGAACACAGTGGCTTTTAGCCAATTTGCAAATAGAACATTGAAGACTGGAAAGAGACACTGACTTAAATAAATGAGGAAACAACTTTTTCAAATACGCAAATGATAAATGTCCTAATCTACGGTGCCACAGCCAAATATTCGTAGATGCTTCAGAGACTGAGAAGGAGCGGTGGAGATGAGAGGACGTTGTAGTGAATGCAGGTGTGCAGTCCAGGAAGTAAAGAGCTCCATTTTTAACACCATAACCAATCGTCCTGTTTTGGTGAATGTCCTGAAATGTACAAGAAGTAGGTCCAAAGGTAACTTTGCAATTTAAATCAGATATGAGTTGATTTACAGATAACAGATTACAAGTTAAGGAGGGTACAAGCAGAACAGAAGTAAGACGCAGAGTAGGAGTTAATTGGATACAACCTTGGCCTGTGATAGGAGAACAACCTCCATTTGCAGTGGAAATATATGTCTTAGGACATGATTCAATTGTATGCAACAGAGAGGAGTCCCAAACCATATGATTGGAAGCCCCAGTATCAATTATCCATAAAGATTTCCAACAATGAGCAGAAAAAGCATAAGACTTACCTAGGATGCTAGCTTGAACGATGTGTGCTTGAGGTGCCTTTTCCTCAGTATCAGCTTGAGTAGTGAGGGCCTTGCCGAGAAGCTTTTTCCGTGGGCGTTTCGTGAAATCCCACCAGTCTGGATATCCAATCAATTCATAACACCTCTGTTTGGAATGGCCGGATTCCCCATAATGAGAGCACATAAAAGAAGGTTTGTGGGATGGAGCAGCATCACGGCGAGGTTTCTGGTATGGAGGGAGTCCTGTGCGTGGTGGATGACTGAGATATGCAGAGGTTTCATTAGAGGGTTTCGGGTTGTCCATCGTGTGACGTTGCTGATGGTCACGGCGGACATAGGCACAGGCGGATTCAAGGTTCAGTTTAGGGTCTTTTCGAAGAATGTCCCCTCTGATTTGGTCAAATGCAGAATCAAGGCCAGCCAAAAAAATATGTACCCGTAATCGAGAGAGGGCAGAATGTTGGTGAAGAAGATCAGCAACCGACGCGGAAGAGGAGGTGCGGTGGTCAATTTCCTGGAAAATAGCCAACAGTTCGTTGTAGTATACGGCAAGAGGACGACCATTTTGCTTTGTGTTGAACGATCGTTGGTTGAGATCGTACAAGTAAGATTCGTCAGAGCCATCATAGAAGGTCTTAGAAGCAGCATAAACCTCTGCATGAGGCTAGGGGACATGGACTCAATCAACCAGCTTTTCACGCGTTTGTTGTCGGTGATCCAAGATTCATAGGAAGGATCATCAGAGGTGGGTCTGGGTTTAGCACCGGTGAGAAAGCCGGATTTATCGCGGGCCCCAATTCGCATGTCCATGAGTTGGGACCATAGGGGATAATTGGATTCGTCAAGAACAACGGTGACGGGAAGAGAGGAGTGATCTTAGTTGATAATGATGTTTGGTGGAGGCGTTGGGGTGGTAGAGGACAATGGGTTTTGTTCAACGGAGGGCATATTGTTTCCGGTGGTGTTGATGGTTTCCATCCAGGGTTTGAAGGAGAAGACGAAAGTGGGAATTGGGGAAAAAATAAGCGAACCCGGTCTGGTACGGTTCGGGTGTGTTGGGTGAAAAGGTTAAAGGGAGGGAGGTGGGTTTCGAAAAAAGAAACGAAAAAATAATTCAAGAAAAAATAAGGTGGGGTAAAAAAAACAACCGGAAAAAGTATTTCAAAAAAAAATCAAGGATCAGAACTTAGCTCTTGATACCATGTCAAAATAACTGTGTATTTCATTTTTTGTTCACAAGGTAAAGAAGGTGTTTAAATACACCAATAACAGAAACAAGATCAGATCAATATCCTATACAAAACAACTAAATAAAGAACAAACTCCCTAATTTTCTCAACACTAAAAAACAACTTTACAAACTAAGTTTAAAATTCAAATTCTATTCTTAACACGGCAAGACTGCAATGACTGCTTGGATGAGGTTATCTCAGAATTCCCAACTTTGTTCGATGGCCAGCTAGGTGGTAGAGTCGTTAGGCCGAGTTGTAATGTTAGATATGAAACCTGTTGGGATAAATTTTAAATGTCCGTTTTTTATATAATGGGTTTAGAAGTTTTGTTTTTAGGAATGAATGATGGTTAAGAGTTAGCAGTTTTTTAGAATATTACTGAGTCAATTATGAAGTAATGAGGGTGTTAGATATGAAACCTACGGCTTCTACGAACCTACGCCAATATCAGACACAGATGTACCACCACCAACACCACTGTCTTCACCATCCACCAATAACACTTCCTCACAAGGTACTTGTCACATTTTGCTTAATTGCTTTAAGTGCTGTGAGTGGTGCTTATGTTGCCCTTTTTCTCTGTGATTAGCTGTTAGACTTATTAATATTTTATTATCTTTAATCCTTGAATCCTCTGGCCGAGCTGAGGATTCTGGTTTTTGCAGGAAAGGGCAACATGTCACGAACTGCCATAGCCATAGTTGTGCCCACTGTTGTTGCTGTTTTTGTTTTGCTCTTTTTTATCTGCATATATTTGAGGAGGAAGGCAAAGAAAGATGTTGCAGGTAAGTCTTAGTCTGAGTTTTTATTTTCAACATAGACCTTCATTGTTACAATGAAAATAAAGAGGCATAAGACAAATTTAGAGTAATTTAAAGCAGATAGACCTTCATAGGCATATAATCTGTCATAATTTAGAGAATTTCCTTCCAATAATAATACTAGATACGATCAATTAAGAGAAAGGGTATGAAAATATTCAATAATTCAAAGCATGCGTAACTCAGTCACTACTTGGAAGAAGCAAAGAGAAAAAGGGAAGTCAATAGCTACTGTGTTCTGTTTTCACAAATTTTATCTTCTGATGTTCTACTTTGATAGCACTGACGACAATATTGCGCTTTTATCACATTCGAAAAACTCACTAGTTCAAATTCGTTCCACATGTGAAATTGAAGAAGTAGAGGATGATTATAATGAAATTAAAATTGCTGAGTCGTTGCAATTCGACTTTGACACAATACGAGTTGCCACAAGTGACTTCTCTGATTCTAATAAACTCGGACAGTGCGGATTCGGAGCTGTTTACTTGGTAAGTAACACTGTTGAATTCAGATACACATCACCTCTTCGTCAAAACATGGTATACCCAGTTACTTAGCTAGTTATTTACCATACCTGAGTGAGATATACTTTCAGGGTAGACTCTCCAATGGACAAGTGATTGCAGTCAAAAGGTTGTCAAGAGATTCTGGCCAAGGAGATACTGAATTTAAGAATGAAGTGCTTTTATTGGCCAAGCTGCAGCACCGAAATTTAGTTAGTCTACTTGGTTTCTGCCTGGAAGGAAGAGAAAGGCTGCTTGTCTATGAATTTGTTCCTAATAAAAGCCTTGATTGCAAGTGACCAGAAAAACAGTGGAATTCGTCATGGGGAGAATGTAGAGGATCTACTGAGCTTTGTATGTCTTTCTTTTCTCACTATTATATCTTCTTTGCCATTAAAAGTATGGATTAGAAGATTACATGCTCCTATATACACATTAATGTTGAAGTGGAATCGGTGACTTAATTAATAGTATCGTCTATGATTGAGCAAATTCTTGCAGGTAAGGAGAAACTGGAGGGAGGGGACAGCTACAAATATTGTAGATCCATCATTAAACAACAGTTCGGGAAATGAAATGATGAGACGCATCCACATTGGTTTACTCTGTGTTCAAGAAAATTTAGCTGACAGACCAACAATGGCTGCCGTTGCACTAATGCTTAATAGCGATTCTCTCACTCTCCAGGTACCTTCAGAACCTGCATTTTATATGGACAGTAGAACTAGAAGCCTTCCACACATGCAGTCATGGCCATAGGTGTATAATTCAAGGGCAAGAAGATCAACTTAGCTTAATTGAGCTCAAAAATCAGTAGATGAGGCTTCAATTAATATCCTTGCTAGATTTTGGTCATCGTGGTGATATTTATATGCTTTTTCGATTCAAATAAACAACATAAATCTTTATATTTTTATTTCTAGTATTTGAGAATTGAGATATATTCTACCGAGCTTGGGGGCATGAGTGCAGTAGTGCTTATGAGGTCCATTCCAACAAAACACGAAGAAAGTAATAGTCGGGCATGCCCTCAGCCACGTTGGTCTCAATTATATTTACCGTTTCTTTTTACTTCTTTTTAAAGATCAATTTTGATTCCTAAAATTGTTAATTATTTAAGATGCGTTTTATTTGTTTCTATTTTCATTTAATATGTATTATTCAGAATTATAAAATTATTATTTCATTTTTTATTTTTAAAGGTTTATTAAAAAATGTTAAAAACAGGTCTGTTACACTCTTCTTTTAAATTTTTGTAATTATTGAATAAAATTTCATATAAATTCTACTATATAATTCGCCTCACTCATTATTATTCGCATGATGATAGTGTAGAAAAGAAAGTGTCCAAGAGTTTCTTGTTAACTTTTCATCTATTAAACAAAAAATAAGATAAAAATAATATAATATTTTATGATTATTAACGAAGAGGGAGGGTTATATTTAATTTTTTTTTACTATTTCTTAGTCTCTAATTATCAAATCTTAACCATTGATTTCCGTCAATCTAATAGTATTGATTTTTTGAAAATTAATACTTAATTAATAAGTGTGACCCAATAAATTATAACTATTAGATTGACGGAAATCAACGGTTAAGATTTGATAGTAAATATAACATTTCCCGCTAATGAAATCATATAAATTAAAATATAAACCAAACATACTCCTATATTTTAATTTTTATATAATTCTTTTCATATAATTTTTTATAATTTTATTAAGGTTTTGATATTTATAAAATTAATATATTGATAAATTGGATTATAAGAAGCAATCCTTCGTTTAAAAAACCTCTTTTCAGTGGGAACTTGAAAAGATTTATGTTGTTTCCTTGAGTGGTCTGCACTGAACCGTCAAATTAGCTTGCGGGTTGTGGGGTGGAAATGAGAAAAAAATTCAATAATTTTTTTTACGGTTAATTTTTTTTATTTTGAATTATATAAATAAAGGAGAAGATTATATTTATAACCTATTTTTATTTACAACTTCTTACAACTCATATCTTAACCGTTGATTTCCGTCAATCAACGGTTAAGATTTTCACAAATAAAATTTATTAATTAATTATTAATTCGTAATAAATGATAACCATTGATTGGCGGAAATCAACGGTTAAGATATGATTGTAAGAGGTTGTAAATGAAAATAGGTTATAAGTATAACATTTCCCTTATATAAATAATAACTTTTTTCTTTGCTTTAATATTCTTTTTTGTTTTCTTTATTTAATAAAATAAAAGCGGAATCAAAATAGCCTATTCACAATTTAAGAAAGTTTTTACAAATAAAAATTGACCATCATTGACAATTTGACATTTTATTTAACGTGGACACGAGCAGCTGTATTTTTATTTTTATTTTTAAAAGCGCACTTTTAATGCTATTTACAAAACTTAACGCATCTTTAATCTTGAATAATATGTTTCGGGTATAAATTTCTTAACACTAGAACAATAGTAGAAACGTTTCATCTCTTCGAATAACAAGCTCTACAATCATCACCTGAAATTTATTATTAATCAGACAAATTATATATTTGACTAAACTGTCAATTTGTTATATGGTGAACTTATGAATCTTTTAATATCCAAAAAAAAAAACTTATGAATCTTTTCAAATAAACAATTATTCTTTGAATTTTTGGGCGTATTTTCAGCCCGAATATGTTTTTATTATAGATAATTTTTCCCCCACTTATTTCTCAATGAATTTAGTGAAAAAGGTTCATGTTTCCACATTTTCCATTCTTCTGTTATCTGGTTTCCCAGGGAATTTTCGTTTTTTATGAATTAATTAAAAAGCAAATATGAAAAGTACAAAACTAATGATTGTAGGAGACATGTAAATTATGCTTATTAACAGATCATTTTGCTACATTCCTTGATCACGCTGCGTTGGTCCACGAAGCAAATGCAATGTATGGTGCCCAAGCCCCACGCGATGAATCTCTATATGTTGTCTTAGGCAGTCTTAATCAACAATCCGATGTGACTGTCTGATTGGGCTTTCTAACAAATTCCGGACAACGACCATTTCGCTTGGTTCTTCATTTGATCGGTTCAACCAAGCCAACTATGTCTATAAATTATTTTAAATTTATATAATACTATATATAATAATAATCTGGATACCCAAAAAAACAAATATCAAAAAATGATCTAATTACACTTCACGCTCCAAATTTTTGATGATTCAATCAATCCGGGATGAAAGAGACAATATCTCACTCGGGGGAGAGAACGAGGAAATCTCATATAGTAAAAAATTTATTAGAATGCTACATACTAATAAAAATTTGTCAAAATATTGGATAACCTAACTTACTATAACTCATAGCGAGTTAAGTCTGCACACTTGACAGCTTTTTTTAGATTACGTAATTCGCTATATAGTGTAGTGATTTTTCCCAATCAACTCGTCAGTCTATATGGCACTTTTCTGACAAAAAGTCACTGCATATTCCAGCGAGTTTAGGAGAGAGAATTTTTAAAGAAAATTTATTACTTTACATCAATATTTATTACTTTATTTTAAATTTTCTCTCCTCCTTTATTTTATAGCACATAATCACATTAGCTTTTTTTAGATTATGTAATTCGCTATATAGTGTAGTGATTTTGCCCAATCAACTCGTCAGTCTATATGGCACTTTTCTGACAAAAAGTCACTGCATATTCCAGCGAGTTTAGGAGAGAGAATTTTTAAAGAAAATTTATTACTTTACATCAATATTTATTACTTTATTTTAAATTTTCTCTCCTCCTTTATTTTATAGCACATAATCACATTTTTCTCTCTCTTATAAACATATTTGTAGCAATTTACAGAAGAGATTTTCTCTTTTCTCTCTTGGCTATTAAATACAATTAGTAATTAATTAATTTTCCTGAATCTAAACTTCCTAAAGTATTTAAAGAGTTTAGAAATAATTTAAAATACTTACTTTATTCCACTTACTAAACAAAATTTTCCTTCCTTCTTTACCAAATGTGTATACACACACACACACACACACATATATATATATATATATATATATATATATCTTTGTTAAAAATTAAGGTAAAAATCTTTGATTTGTTTAGCTTCCTCGATTTTCAAATCAATTTTGTTTAGATTTTAATTAATTGAATTTTTGTTTGTAAGAGTTGCAGCAGCAACACCTATGCGAAACAATAGTTAATTTCAAATTTTATTTTTGTGAAGAAAAGAAAACAAAAAAAATAGGAGCAAAAATGAAGAACCCTAGCAGTAGGAAAAGAAGGAACACAGCAGGGATAGATGATAACATGTTGACTAAGCGTAAAAAACGACCTGATTCTATCTTGCAAGCTCCACCACCTCCGTTGAAAAGAAATATGAGCTCGCAAACACAGTAAGGGAACTTGTGCCAAATACAAAATCAGTTAGTTTAGTATTTTGTTTTTTTATTTTATTTTCATTAGTAATTATTTTTTTAAATAATGGTTTTTACGCTACTTTGCACTATTTGCCCACTGAACTTTTATGGTGACAATTTCTGGATTCAACATCATCTTCAATAGTTTTATGGTGAATGCATTTGGTATTTTCATATTTTATATTATATGTGTTTGCCATTTTTTTAAAAAAATTTATTGGTAATGAATTTTATCAAAAATTAATAACGACAAGAGAGAGAAAAGAGAAAATTAGATATAAATTTTATGGGTGAAGAATTTCTCCAGTAATTGGAGATAAGTTATCTCTAGTGACCCTCAAAACTATGTCGTTTAGAATTAAGGAAGGGTGTTTCTGTAATTTTGTTTATTTTTTATCACGAATTTTACTGAAACACCCTTCATTAATTTTCTTAAAATTACAGAAATATCCTGCATTAATTTAAAATGACATAATTTTGGGATAACTTATCTATAGAGACCGGAGAAATACTTAACCTAAATTTTATTTGTAATAAATTTTCAAAATCAAATACACTCCTTAAATACTTTAGGAAACTAGCATTTGCAAATTACTATAAAACGTGATTATGAGAGAGAAAACATGATTATATGCTATCAAATAAAGGAGGAGAGAGAAAATTAAAATAAAGTAATAAAAATTGATGAAAGTAATAAATTTTCTTTAAATTTTGTCTCTCCTAAACTCGTTGGAACATGCAACAACTTTTTGTCAAAAATGTGCCACATGGATTGACTCATTGACTGACCAAAATTGCTACACTGTGTAGCGAGTTACGTGGCCTCAAACTGACTGCCACATGTTCAGACCTAACTCACTAGGTGTTGTAGCGAGTTAGGTGGCGTGACATTTTGAAAAATTCTTATTGGAGCATGGCACTCAGGTAATATTTTGCCAAAAACGTGGCAAAAAGGTCGTTGTTCCAACAAATTCCATGTTGATTTGATGGAAAGTTATTTGGTGGTAATTGGTAGACCTAGTTGTAACATTATGTTTGGAAAAGTCCGCATTTATATGAAGAGAAAAACTTTGGTGAATCGGGAGCACCGAATTCGGTGCTTCCTTTTACTAAAAAAAAGTAAGACTTAAATGGAAATATAAAAAAAAAAAGTATGGGTAAAAAGGGAAAAAAAATTCCTTTTTAATAAAAAAGAGCACCGAGTGCCCCAAAGTTTTTTTGCGTTTTAAGTGTGTCCTGAAGTCTTCTGACGCAAATGAGTACATTTATACTACTCTCAGAGAAGACGTAAATAGTACAACAATTGATGAGAATGTTGTTTTCTTGAAGTTTTACAATGAAATCCTTGATGAAAAAGTCTTACTAAGTGTGTACTTTGGGTATAGAGGACCCAATGAATACGTACAATTGATGAGAATGTTGATTTCATAAAGTCTTACAATGACATCCTTAATGTATAATTCTTGCTAAGTGCGTGACTTTAGGTAAAGAAGACCCAATAAGTACAATAATTGATGAGAATGTTCATTTCGTGAAGTTACCTTTAATTACCTGATGAAGAAGTTGCTCTTGAAAAAATTTAATGGTGGTGGACAACAAGCTGAGCATATGGCATGATAAGCTACAACGATGGACTTTATTTTGGTATGATGCCTTCTCGTTCACCAATATATTTAGAACTCCATATCATGAAAGCATTATGTCTCCACGT